ACCTAGACATTTAATATCTATAGCAAAATAATATTTAAAAATAATGGTTTGCTAATGTGAAATAAATCATATTAGGATAGTAAAAGGGCCTTTCTTTTTTTTGTTGTGGCCTTCCACAATTTATGAGAAGCAGCTGGTAATTAAACCCAAGACTGTTAACTCCTCTGTTTCAAACAAACCCTGTTCAAACTGCAAGAGAACATAAGTCACTATCAAGGCTACATTCTTGCATACATACTCCTCCTCCCTGCTATTTTTATCAATACAATTCAGGAATCATTTGCACCCAGAGGTCTCTAGTTAGTAGAAAGTTCCCTTCCCCCCTCCTCTTCAAACAAGACTCTTTTGAACTCTTCTTACTTTTATTATAAGCATGTTTTAGAGACTTTGGAAAAATACTAATAAGACACCTCTCTAAGACATCTGCCTGGATTGTCTCGTTAAGAACTAACAAAGACAACTCCCTAATGTCTCCTCAATTTCAGCCAAAAAAAACTCCTCCCTTCCTTGTCACCTAGCAATAGCAGCCAAGGCTTATAAAGAGGGCCCAGCTTTTGTTTTTTGCCTTTGTACTGATTACCAATGCACTGGCCCTTTCCCTCTGAGAAACATAAACTTCCTCTTTCCATCTATTTCTTCTTTTAGTTGTGAACTAGAAGCCTGGTGAACGAAATCCATGCACGAGATGAGGGGGGGGGGGGACCTCAGCTCAGCCTGCATCCTCTCCAATCCAGGACCCCAGCAGTTGGACATACCTCTCACAATCTGGGACCACTGGTTCCTAACTGCTCATCTGCCTGCCTAATCACCCCTAACTGCCCTCCCCCCATGGCATGGTCACCCCCAACTGGCCCCCTGTCGGCCTGCTCGCCCCCAACTGCCCCCACCCCGGCCTGCCTGGTCGCCCCTTACTGACCACCCCCTGCCAACCTGGTCACCCCAACAACCTCCCGCCAGCCTGGTTGCCCCTTGTTGCCACCCCCCTGCTGGCCTGGTCACCCATAATTACCCTCCCCCGTCAGCCTGGTTGCGCCACGCAGCCCGCCGCTCAGTCATTTGGTCATCCCTCGCTAACCCCCCTGCTGGCCTAGACACCCCACACAGCCTGTTCGGTCATCCATTTGGCTGTTTTGGTTGCCACAGTAGCTTATGCTTTTATAGATAGATAGATAGATAGATAGATAGATAGATAGATTCTTTCACAGCCTACGTCATGGGCCAAAAACCCTAAAACAACATATATTTGGAATTACAATACAATAAAAAGATATACTAGGACCGTGGTCAGCAAACTGCAGCTCAAGAACCACATGTGGCTCTTTGGCCCCATGAGTGTGTCTCTTCCACAAAATACCAGGGCCTGGGCAAGTCTATTTTGAAGAAGTGGCGTTAGAAGAAGTTTAAAAAATTTGGCTCTCAAAAGAAATTTCAATCATACTGTTGATATTTAGCTCTGTTGACTAATGAGTTCGCTGACCATTGAACTAGGAGAAAAGTATACACATGGAAGAATTTTAGCAGCTAAGAAGAGATGGAAATAAGACAAATAAAAATATTTCATTGTAACAATGTGTTTTTCTGGTAGATTTATATGCAAATGAAATAGACTGAAATTTTACACATAGACAAATACTTTCCGCCCCCCCCTTTTTTTTTCTTTTTTCAATGTATTTTCCTGTCTATTTTCAAAAAGGATTGAGGAGAATTACTAACAATTATATCAAATTAGACCATTTATTCATAGCTAGCAAAGAAATACAGTAAGGTACTTAAAAGGTATTATAAGTGGACATGAGTCTGTTACTTTTTGTTTTATTCCCAGCTCAGAAGAAAAATGTTTGGTTTTGGTTTTGGTTTTTGGTTTTTTTTAGAAAAATGTTTTGAACCTCAATTTATCTTGATTTTTTACTATGCCTTCATCTTAGCACAGGCATATAATTACAAGTTTGTAAGTGTGACTTAATAAACTGGTTAAAAATTTTTGACTGCTATTCTTTCATTCCACAATTAATGGGCCATTAGTTTCCTTAATTTTTCCTCTTAAAATTCTTAAATATTTCAAGTATCCATACTGTTCCTTTCTAATGATGTTAAAACCAAATGAGTATTAATAAGGCCAATAGTGGTAATAAACATTAGGTTTGTGGTATACCTTCACTAAAATATCCAGGGAGTATATCCAACAAAAGAATGTCTGAGATTTTTAGCAAAAAAATAATAATAATAATAATAATAATAATTAACACACATGGACCTCTGAGGAATATCTAATTGCTTTTTTTGAAATTAAGAAATGCACCAGCCTCTTCAATACCCAGATTGCAGGAGGCAATTGATCAATGTTTCTCTCTCTCCCTCTTCTTCTCTTTTTAAAAAATCAATGAAAACATAGAAAGTAGAGAGAAATTAAGAAGTATATTCTACAATATGGAGGAGCATTACAAAAGGGAAGTTTCAAGCTGCTTATTGGTTATGCATTTCCACTGCAGCATTTATGTGGAGTTTCTATGGTAACTAAAGTAAGATTAATAATATACATACATTGGAGGAAGTGATCAGGATTATGAATTTTTTTTTTCACAATTCTACCTTAACCATTATTTCCATTTGTGTCAACTGGAAATTTTATTATGTGGAAACATTGAAGAAATTTAATAAGTTTCTCCCTTAAGTTAGGATTCAAAATTAGAAGGCCATTAAAGATCCAACTTGCAGGACCCTCAAGGTTATCAGTAAGAAAATATAAAGTATGGAGAAACTTTATATGCATTATCTCATTTAATCTTCAACCATAACCCTATTATATTCAGAGAAATGGGTTCTCAGAGGTTAAGTGATTTGAAAGGTGCAGAATTAGAAGTCTTTCCAGTTGACACTGCAGGAAAAAGACAAAAGCTACTATTGATTTGTAAGGTATTCAGACTTAGGTTGGCAAATGCATGAAGCAAGTGGCTACTCAGCTTTTATTCATTTCTCCTTGTGAATTGTCCTGAGTTCAGTAAAACCATAACTGTGAAAAACTGCAATGCTTTGGAGGGAAAAGAAAAAGATTGAAAAGTGTTACAAATTTTGACAAATGATTCACTGGCAATGTCAGTCTTTGGAAAGCAAACCTCAGGATATATCTGAATCATCAAGTATCTTTCCTGTCAGTGTGACTGTATGAATCAAAGAAAACTTGAGTCAAAATTAAACTTCCCATAATAAACAGGATTTCTCAGATTTTTGGAAAAGCCATATAAATCTCAGTACTCCCCAGGAATTTCTGAATGGCTAAATTCTGTGTAATTTTTACATCCACCTTGCTTAACAGTACATTTCTCTTTCATAAAATTGCTGAAATAAAAGCTTAAAGTTGCATTATCTAAATCTTAGCATGGATTTGGGCCCTAATATAATGCTATAGTTCTTGATGATGGTTAAAACCTATGAAAAGTATTGACTCTCACTTTTCTATGAATAGAGTTGATTGTATTTTGCTACTTTTAAATTCCTAAAAATTCCTTTATTTGACAGTCTAAATGTCATCATTATTATTAACAAATTAATAACCTATACACATTCCCTTTTTAACATGATGTGGGGGAGCTTGAATGCTCCTGCAATAGTGTCCAAGTTATAAAGCATAGGACTCAGTATGAAGCTATCTGTGATGGAAAGCAACAGTGAACAGCCAAGTAAAACTGGCCCCTCGGATCTGTTACTTGGCCTGGCCGTTAAGTGGCTAGTCTAAAGCAAGGAGCTCCTGGGCTTCTGAATTTCACAGACCAGTACAATTTCAAATTAAATTTTGGAGACTGACAAAAAAAAATGCCAACCTTGTGTTTGTTTTAACCTCTTTACTTTAAAAAATAAAGTACATCAATTACTGCTTCCACTCACTATCATTTTATAAAACAAGCAATTTAACACAACACCCCCCCTCCCAAATAGAAGATAAAATCTCCGACAATATAAGACAGTTCTTTCAATTAGCACAATTAGTATCTTATTTTTTAAAAACCACCACATATTTATTTTATGTAATATTAGTGGAATGTTTATTGTGGGACCTGCATCTGAAAATCAAGAGTCCAAAGCAAAGATTCCAAACTCTGATCCTTAGATAACACCTTAGGGGCTTTAAAAATAATGAATCCTGGTCTTCCTTCCAGATCTATGGATTCAATCTCGGGGGTTAGATGGCCAGGAATTTTGATGTAGAGTTAAGTTTGAGAACAATGATCCATAGTATATATAAACTTAAGAATGATTTAGGCAGTTCTCGGTAACAGTGATGTTAAATCTAGTCCATCTGGGCAAAAGAAGTTCCAGGTAGTGCTTTTAGGAAATCAAGTAGAGTTGTGCTTGAGGTTCAGGTGTCTATTTATTTGCAGATACCTGAGCATTTTATATAATTAGGTTATCTGTGTCTATCAATGGTACTTAGAATTATAAAAAGCATTTAATCTGATTATAGAAACAAAAGGTAGAATGTTAAAAACATGTTATTATGTTAATACATATTTAGCTTTCTAGGATAAAAATGCTTTAACCACAAAATGCATTAATGTAGGATATGGTTACAGTAAGATATCTGAAATATAAATATGAATTTTTCAAATTAGAGCAAAGTACTTCTTTTCTGTCCATCTACCTTTATTGCTCAGGAAGACTATGATTCTCAATTTTACTACATGATCTCTTCCTTTAAATTCACTTCTATTTCTATTTAGAGCATTTTTCCTTTGCTCTACTCCCATGTTTGAGAAGCAATAATAGCTCTGTACTATGATTTATTTTTGTGTTAAATAGTATTTTAAAATCTGATAAGAGCTAGAAAAGCTTTATAGCATCAAGTGCCTAGAGAAGTTTATAGAATGAACATATGCAGCCTATTATTTTGTAGATTAACATCTTTTTCTATCAGGCATTTAAGATAAAAATCTTGGTGGTAACATAAATAAATTTAAATGGGTTTACATTTGCCTCATAATTTTTATTCCAACAGATAATTCAACAGTTGTTGCTTATAAATAATTTGTAGTGAGACAGCATATTCTCATACTTATACATGTATTTCAGACTCATTCATTTATTTTGCATTTATTCACCAAGGACACGCTCATCCTATATAATAAAAGCCTAATATGCTAATTGTCCAACCGTTCATCTGACTTTTCAACGAGTTGCTATGATGTGCACTGACCACCAGGAGGCAGGCGCTCAAACCAGCCTTCTGCTGGGGTCTGAGATTTCGACTGGGCTGGAGGGGCCTGACACGCCCTAGAGCTCTCCCACGGTCCCTTCCCAGCCCCAATCATGCACCAACGGGGTCCCTCCGCCTGGCCTGCGCCCTCTCGCAGTACAGGCTGAGGGACCTCACTGGTGCATGAATCCATCACCAGGGTTCTAGTCTTATATAACAGTAAGCCATCTACTTCTTTTCATCTTCCCTGGTATCCCTCTATTCCAAGCTACCTTTCTTAGGATACTGTAGTGGCCTTTTAACTGGCCTCTCCCTGACCTTTCTAGTTGTCCTCTGATCTGTTTTTCACATTGTAGCTTGAGTGAGCTTTTCAAAACGCAAGTGATCATGTTGGGCAATACAGTGCGATTGTTAAAAGCAGTAATTCTGGAGCCAGGCTGCCAGGGTTCAAATCTAGACTGCCATCTATCAGCTGTATCACCTTGGACAAGACACAACCTCTCCTCTATAAGATGGAGATGTCAATATGTATATCCTAAGTGGGTATAAGGTTTTAAATCAACTAATAAATTAAGGGCTCTGCAAATAAGAGCCTGACTCATCATCCAACATGTCTTTATCTGTATTTGTTTTGTTTCATTCATACTGGCGGGGTTTTTGTTGTATTTGGTTTTCCCCATCTGAAAAAGGACCTCACACCTCTGCACATTTTACACCCCAAACTCACTCTTCTGTCCTCTCACACACGCCTGTTGCCTATTAGCTCCTAATCCTTTTTCAGATCTCTGTTAACATCCTTTCCTCAGGGAAACCCTCCCTGAACCTAGTGGTGACTTAGGTTTTTAGGTTGATATCATCTTAAAGAACTTTGCTCCTGTCTTTCATTCCTTTGTGTGACTATTTGACTAATAGAGCTCCTTTATATCATGCCTGTTTTTTGCTCACATTGTATCCTTAGTGCTTAGCTCAACACTCAATCACTTTCTGATTTAAATGAATGAATAATAACTATCATGTGTGCCAGGTACAGTGTTGAGTTTTTTATATATCATCTCATTTTTGTCTTATCTGATGGTAGGTATAATAACTACTATTTTACAAATGTGAAAAGTAAAGTTCAGGGTTTAAGAGCTACTAAATGACACGAGGCCAGGCGAGACCTTACAGTCTACTAAGAAATAGATAAATGCTTTAAGTGAACCCTGAGTCAATTACATACTATTTGTGCATTAGTATTACACCATTGATGTTTGATCTGATATGTCACATGATGTTTTAGTGCACTAACATATTAACACAATTAAACAAGAAAAAGAATGTAGAGGTATAAACATTGCAAAAAGAGAAAGCAGAGTATCACTACTTGCAGATCTGATACCCACAGTACCTAGAAAATTACTAAAAAACTACTATACACCAAAAAGCGAATAATTCAGTGGGGTAGTAAGATACAGAATTAATATAGAAAAATAAGTCACTTTAATATATTTACCACCCAGCTGGTATAGCTCAGTGGCTGAGCGTCGACCCATGCACCAAGAGCTCACCAGTTGGATTCCTGGTCCGAGCACATGAGCACATGGGGTTAACAGCTCAATCCCCAGTGGGGATCAGCCCGCCTCTCTCTTTCTCTGAGAGGTCAGCAGTTCAGCCCCCACCCACCGGAGCCTGCTGCGCACACAGCCTGGCGTTGGTCATCCCAGTCCTTTTGGACATTACGGTCCCTGGCTCTTTATAGATAGAGATATCGTTATTGAACTCTCCCCATTTAACCCTTTTGAGTACGTTATTTCCTACTGGGCACTGACCAACCCAATGTCCATTGCACAAGACTGAAGACAAGACATTCTGATAAGTGTGGCAAGTTTTACAAGGCAGCACCAGACATAGTGCTTCCTACAAAGTAAGTCATTCACTAATATCTGCTGAATATGTGAATGACCCCAATGAAGGGTTTAGAAATTGTTGGGTAAATCAGTTACCATTACAGGCACTTAAAAAAAAAGGAGGAGGGTTTGAAGTCACAAAAACCTGGGTTCAAGTTTAGTTTTGTGTGACTGAAGTTAACCTTTCTTATTAGTTTCACCTTCTGTAAAATAGGATTATTACAACTTACTTCATTGAATTGGCATGAAAATAAAATAAAATATAGCAAAGTGCCATGCACACAGACACATTCCAAATTCTAAGATCCTCTCTTTCACAAATTCAACACTTTCAAAAAGACATTTGGCCAGAATTATATAAAATGCCTCAAAATTGCTGAAACCGGTTTGGCTCAGTGGTAGAGCATCAGTCTGCGGACTGAAAGGTCCCAGGTTTGATTCCGGTTAAGGACATGTACATTGGTTGCAGGCACATCCCAGGTGGGGGGTGTGCAAGAGGCAGCTGGTCGATGTTTCTCTCTCATCGACGTTTCTAGCTCTCTATCTCTCTCCCTTCCCTTCCTCTCTGTAAAAAAATCAATAAATTATATTTTTTTAAATGCCTCAAAATTACTTGTTAACTTATATCTTAAGACTTTTGTTTAAAATGACATAACACAGTAAGATAAAATAATCTTAAAAAGATGAGGAAAATGATAGAGATAAAAATATGATACCTAGAATGAGCCTATAAACAAAATGCAGAAAAAAATACAAAATACTTGCTAAAAGTTTACCAGAAATCTGACTGTAAATTTATTAACAGCAAGTTCAAACTAGGAAATGCAAATATTGTAATCATAGCAAACAGTTTCTACACAATAAAAAAGCTTAAGAGAAAGTTCTCCCAGGAGCCTCATAGAGAACAAAGTTCTCATGGTGAAGTGACCACTTGTTAGGGACCTTCAAAAATGTAACTCTGCACATACACTGAGGGCTAGGTTCTCAACAAAAGCAATTCGATAAAGGTAGTCTAACACCCACAGTAAGAATGAAGGCTCTGAATACAGAAAGACCTGGGTTTATATCCTCGTTCTACCATCTATTACAAAGCAGTATCAGACAAGACACAACCTTTCTGAACCCTCCAAACTCAGGTACACTGACTCAAATATAATAAGTATTCAGCAAGCATGAGATTATTCCTAGAAAGATACTAAAAGCAATTCAATGGGAATAGAAAAAGGATATGAAGGCATTTTCTAATGTCCTGATTTAACCTAAGTATAGATTTTAGAACATGAAAGCAATGGTTCTCAAACCTTGGTATTATCAGAATCATCTGTGGTATTTTTCAAAAATACAAATTCCTGGGCCTCATTCCCAGAGAGAGCCTCATTCAAGAGGTTAGAGTAGGCTTGGGAGAGTTTGTTTTGTTCTTACTGCTTTTTAATTCCTGAGATGATTCTAATTATCATCCAGATTTGAGGATTGCTAATTAACAGCATTTCTCAGCCAGTGTTAACCACAGTCACCAAGGAAATCTTATAAAATTCCAAATGGCTGACCACCCAACAGCCCCAGAACTTAATGAATCAGAATCTGCAAACCATGCTGGCCAAATGACCAAAAGCTAACTGAAATAAGAGAGGAATTACAGTTGTTCAATTAAAGGGTATAAAAATCTACAAAATAGCCTTGGTCAGGTGGCCCAGTTGGTTGGAGCATCGTCCCATACACCAAGAAGGCTGTGTGTCCAATTTCAGATCAGGGTACATACCCATTTTGTGGAATGGCAAGCAACTGATCTATGTTTCTCCCTCTCTCTAAAATCAATAAACATATGCTCAGTGAGGATTTAAAAATATCTACAAAATAAATCAATAACCTCTGGACTATCAGAAGTTGAATGCAGGGATGATCAACATTTTACCTAACAAAGAAACAATTAGAATAGATTAAAAAAAAGAAGAAGAACTAAGTTCTCAATCTGGATAATAAAGTCAAACAACTATGAAAAGGAGGGGAGGGGGAATGGAACTTCTATTAACATAACATTCTATCTATACTGTAAATGAGTAAATGAGTGCCACTGCAACCTTTGTATTCTTGCATCACTAAAAAAGAATACTGCTATTATTCTTAGAATAAAACTGAAGAACCAAAATATCTTCGTTATAAGCATTAACTAAATTCTGCAATAAAATTTAGAGTTCAAAAGGTCATATATCAATCATGCAGAAGGCTTTCCTTATTTTTAAATATCTCCTAAACCTCAACTCTCCTGTCCTTTCATAGCTGAAATACTTTAAGCAACATAAGAAAGCCTCCTACCTAGATAACGAAAAGTGCTGCCATCAGCCCTAGCCAGTTTGGGTCAGTGGATAACCAGCCCTCGACTGAAGGGTCCCAGGTCGATTCCCTTCAAGGCATGTACCTCGGTTGCATGATCTCCAGCCCTGATCAGAACCCATGTGTGAGGCAACCAATCAATGTATCTCTCTCAGATCGATGTTTCTGTCTCCCCTCCTCCCTTCCCCTCTCCCTAAAATCCAATGGAAAACTATCCTCAGGTGATAGTTTCTTAACAAAAACACAAACAACAATAATAAAATAAAATAAAAACACAATGAAGTACCACTTTATAGCCATATATTTGATGGCTAAAATCAAATTCAGATGACACCAAGTTCTGGAAAGGATGTAAAGCAATCAGAACCATATATTGCTGGTGGGTATATAAAATGCAGAGCAGTCAGAGTTCCTCAAACAGTTAAATACAGTTACCATATGACCCAGCAATTACACTCTTAAGTATATGTCCAAGAGAAATAAAAACATACTATAATATGTCTACACAAAAACTTACCCATAAATGTTCACAGCAGTATTATTTACAATAGTCAATATCAGAAACAACCCAAATGTGCATCAACTGATGAATGAGTTAATAAAATGCAATATATGCATAAAAAGAAAACATTATTCAGTATTAAAAAAAAAAAGAATTACTGATATACTGTATGTACAACATGGGTGAATTTTGAAAACATCATGCTTATTGAAAATTACCAGCTGGCCGGCGTGCTCAGTGGCTAGAGCATCGGCCTAAGCACTGAAGGGTCATGAGTTCAATTGCCAGTCAAGGACATGAACCAGGGTTGCAGACTCAATCCCTGGCTTATTTGGGAGGCAACCAATCGATGTCTCTCTCTCATATTAATGTTTCTCTCTCTCCCCATTCCTCGCCTCTTCCTCTCTCTCTAAAAAGCAGTGGATTTTTTAAAAAGAAAGAAAAATGCCAATCACAGCTCCCTGTTCCTCCTGTTCAACAGACAGCCACATCTTCCTGCAGAGGGCCAGCCGTAACTCTGAGCAGGATGGTGAAGGTCAGAGTGAATAGACATGGCCCTATTGAGTGCCTGGTCACCAGGGCTGCTTTTAACTCTGGCAAAGTGGATATTGTCACTATCAGTGACCTCTTCATTGACCTCAACTACATGGTCCACATGCTCCAGTATGATTCTACTCATGGTAAGTTCAAAGGCACAATTGAGGCTGAGAATGGGAAGCTTGTCATCAATATAAACTCCATCTCCATCTTCCAGGAGTGAGATGCCGCAAATATCAAATGGGGTGATGCTGGTGCTAAGTATGTTGTGAAGTCCACTGCTGTCTTCACTAACATGGAGAAGCTGGAGCTTACTTGAAGGGGGGATCCAAGAGGGCCATCATCTCTGCCCCTTCTGCAAATGCCCCATGTCCGTGATGGGTGTGAACCTTGAAAAGTATGACAACTGCCTCAAGATTGTCAACAATGAATGCTTCCTACATCACCAACTGCTTGTCCCCTCCTGGTCAAGGTCATCCAGGACAACTCTGGCATTGTAGAGGGGCACAATCCATGTCATCACTGCCACCCAGAAGACCATGGATGGCCCCTCTGGGATGCTATAGCATGATGACTGAGGGGCTGCCCAGAACATCATCCCTATTTCTACTGGTGCTGCCAAGGCTGTGAGCAAGGTCATCCCCGAGTTGAATGGGAAACTCACTGGCATGGTCCTCTGTGTTGCCACCACCAATGTGCTGGTTGTGGATCTGACCTGCCACCTGGAGAAAGTTGCCAAATATGATGACATCAACAAGGTAGCAGCTACCAGAAGGCCCCCTCAAATACATCCTGGGCTATAGTGAGAACTAAGTTGTCTCCTGCGACTTTAACAGTGACACCCACTCCTCCACCTTTGATGCTGGGGCTGGCATTGCCCTCAATGACCACTTTGTCAAGCTCATTTCCTGGTATGACAATGAATTTGGTTACAGCAACAGGGTGGTGGATCTTATGGTCCACATGTTCTCCAAGGAGTAAGAATCCCCTGAACCACCTGCCCCAGTGAAAGGAAGAGAAGCCCTCAGCTGCTGGAGAGTCTTTGCCCCAGATCAATCCCCCAACACATGGAGAATCTCCTGATCTCCATGTCCATGCCAGATCTGCTGAATAAGGGGAGGGGCTTAGGGAGTCCTACCTTGTTGTGCACCATCAATAAAGTTCACTGAACCAAAAAAGAAAAAGAAAAATGCCAGTCACACATACTGTATGATTCTATTTATATGAAATGTCCAGAATAAGCACATATTTTGAGAAGACTAGTGGTTTCCTAAAGCTGGTGTTGGAGGAGAAAGGGAAATAGAATGTGATTCCAAATAGGTACTGGCTATCTTTTTACAGCAATAAAAAGTCACAGAAAAAAGACCAGTGGTCAGGGTTAGGAAGGAGGAATGAGTGGATAGAGCACAGAGGACATTTAGGGGAGTGAAAAATTACTCTGTATGATATTGTAATGGTGACTATATGTCATTAAACATTTGTCTAAACCCATAGAAAGTATAACGCCAAGAGTGGACCCTAATGTAAATTATGGACTTTGGGTGATAATGATGTATCAATGTAGGTTAATCAATTATAACTCTGGTGTAGGATGTAGATAATGGGGGCAGGAGACATATGGGAAATCTCCGCCTTCTGCTCAATTTGACTGTGAACTTAAAACTACTCTTTAAAAAGTAAATTAGCCGAAACTGGTTTGGCTCAGTGGTAGAGCGTGGGTCTGTGGACTGAAAGGTCCCAGGTACGATTCCGGTCAAGGGCATGTACATTGGTTGCAGGCACATCCCCAGTAGGGGGTGTGCAAGAGGCAGCTGGTTGATGTTTCTCTCTCATCGACGTTTCTAGCTCTCTATCCCTCTCTCCTCCTCTCTGCAAAAAACAATAAAAATATTTAAAAATAAATAAATAAATAAATAGTAAATTTTTAAAAAATCAATGGTTGGAGTGGTGAGATGAGCAGGTATAGGCAAAAGGGAGTAAATTTTTTTTATTGTAGTAAAATCACACAAAATTTACCATCTTAACCATTTTAAGTTTACAATTCAGTGATATTAAGTACACTTATATTGTTGTACAACCATCAACCATCATTCATGAGCAGAATTCTTTTCATCTTCAAAACTGAAACTCTATACCTATTCATCAGTAACTCATTCCCTTCTCCCTGCCCCCAGCAACTGCCATTCTACTTTCTATGAATTTGACTGCTCTAGGTACCTTCTATAAATGGAATCATGCAGTATTTGTCTTTTCGTGACTGCTTTAATTTCATAATTTAGCATAATGTCTTCAAGGTTCATCCATATTTGCAGCATATGCCAGTATTTTCCCTAATTTTTTAAGACTTAATAATATTCCATTATATCTACACACCATTTTGATTATCCATTTATATGTTCACAAATCCCTGGGTTACTTCTACCTTCTGGCTACTGTGAATAATGCCATGGACACAGGTGTACAAATATCTCTTTAAACTCTGCTTTCAGGCCACAGAGGATTTTTAAGAGATGAAGCTATTCTATATGATCTTGGAATGGTAGACACATGGCATTATACATATCAAAACCTACAAAACTTCACAGTTCAAAGAATAAACTTTAAGGTATGCAACTTTTTTAAAAAAAAATCATTGATAAAGTAAAAGGATTCCAAGAAAGAATACAGATTAAGAAAATATAACTATATTACAAACGCATGGAACAACCTCACTTAGGAGGATGAGCGAAATGTTGCTGACCTAAGTAACTTTGAAAATGGGGATTATGTAAGACTAAGAGAAAAAGAGCTACAATTAAGTACTGTACTCTAGTTGATAATGTTGGTTCCCCGGGACTATAAGTTAATAACTTTGATATTGCTATAAATATATACTGAAAAGGAACAAGTAAGCAACTGGATATCAGGTGAAGGGAATTAAGAATGGAACTTTGCCTGGCCAGTGTGGCACAATGGTTGACTGTTGACCTATAAACCAGGAGGTCACGATTCAATTCCCTGTCAAGGCACAAGCCCAGATTGCAGGCTCCATCCCCATTGGGTGTTGTGCAGGATGCAGCCAATCAAAGATTCCCTCTCATCACTGATGTTTCTCTCTCTCTCTCCCCCTCTCCCTTCCCCTCTGAGGTCAATAAAATATATATTCAGGCAGTCCTCAGGTTACGTTGGACTCAACTTAGGTCGTTTCATGGTTATGTTGCCATCTCCATTTATAAAAAAAAAAAGTTCCGTCATTTCAACATATATACATATCTGCTTTATGTTTTTTTATTATTTATTTACAAGTAAAGGTCAGGACTTGTTATCTTTCTTTTAAATTTTTCTTATGTTTCACTTCATTACTGCTGTGTGTGTGCTCCTCACGTGAGTGACACAGCTGCTTATGTAGGTGGGTTCCGATTACTGTGAAAATCGCATTACACCGCGCCATAGGAACATGTCTCCGATGTAACCGGAAGACCTACTGTATTTTTTAAAGAGTGGGAATTTTCAGATAAACAAGAAAATAGAAGGGCACAAGTGGTAATGGAATAAAGTTTAAAGCAACAGTAAGAACTCAGATTTAATTTAATGTAGATACGATGATTACAAATAGAAGTATTCGTAGATATGTGTATATATGCAGGTTAGTGTACACACATATAGGACCTAGGCAGGAAACATGCAAGATGAGACTTGTAGTCCCAAAAAGTAAGGGACTTTTAAAAATCGTTTTTATGGAGATAATGTTCAGGCACAGGAGCCACCTAAAAAAGCTCCCAATGGGAAAAGCTGAAGCAATCAGAGCAATAAAATAAATGAAATAGCGGTGGATTATAAACCAAAGTATAAAATAAATATCCCTGAGTCCTTATTGATATAAATAAATGATTGGATAAATAAATGTGGGAGAGAGACAAATATCCTATTCAGAAGAATTCCAAATAAATTATGTAGATACTCCACCCTAAAATAGAGAAGCAGAACTTCTAAATATGAGCTGTACATAGTGACTTCCTTCTAGAGCACATGTGTCAAACACAAGCCCCCGGGCCAAATCCGTCCCGCCAGGCCTTGCAATGTGGCCCGCACCGCGCTGTCATCACTGCACTCCGCTGCGTTTCCATCACAATGACAGTTTATGACTGTTCAGTAAACCATTCGGCCCGCGATTTAGGCTGGATTTTAGATTTTGGCCCCTTCTCTGATTGAGTTCGACACCCCTATAATACAGTATAGATAGAATGGAAAAAATAACTTGACAGCCTGGCTAGGTAGCTCAGTTGGATGGAGTGTAGTCCCAATAAACCAAAGTTTTAGGTTCAATCCCCAGTCAGGGCACATACAAGAATCAACCAATGGGTGCATGACTGGGAAGAACAGTCAATGTCTCTCTGTCTCTCTCGCAAATCAATAGATTAAAATAATGTTATAGTGGAATAACTTGACAAACACTATTTCAGCCAGATGACCAACATCAGTATCTACTAACAAGTCATAATATGGTATCTTTGGAATTATGTGATGAAAATGACATATTTTTCCAAAAAAAAAAAAAAGTAACTTCAGTCTGATTGTGAGAAAAACATCAGACTAATTCCAATAAAGGGCCGTCATATACCTGACCAGTGCTTCTCTAAACTCTCAAGGTCATCAAACACAAGGAAAGTCAGAGAAAATGGCACAGGCAAGATGTGCCTAAAGAGACATAGTAAATGGAATGTGAAACAGAAAACGACATTAGATAAAAACTAAGGATATCTTGCCTGGCCACTGTGGACAATGGTTGATCGCTGACCCATGTACCAAGAGGTCTGTTCCCTGTCAGGGCACATGCTTACGTTGTGGGCCCTATCCCCCACAGGGGACATGCAGCAGGCAGCTGATCAATGTCTCTCTCATAAATGTTCTCTCTCTCTTTCTCCCTCTCCTTTCCTCTCTCGAAAATATGTAAAAACATATTTTTTTAAAAAGAAAACTACGGACATCTAAGTAAACTGTAGATTTTCATTAATAATAATGTGTCACTATTAGTTCATTAATTGTAATAAATTGTAACCGTTCTAATGTATCAATTTAAAGAGGGGGAAGAGAGAAAAGTAAGTGCTCTTAACTCCCTGGAGGCAATTTTATAGCTTGGTATTTGTTATATTTAGATGACTAAGAGACCTGGGTAATTATAGGATATCTGTATTGTTTCCAACATTCAGCAAATCTTTCCACTTGCAAAATAAACTTCTGGACTTATTTTAGGACTCTTTCATCAGTCCCTGCAGTGCCTTCACTCAGTCTGGAGTCAGGTCAACTTCACCACATCCTGTCCAACTGGACACTTGCTCAAAACTCTCATCTGCTCTGACAGGTGACATCAGCATGGCATGGAGTATCAAGCAAGCAGCAGCCCACAGATTCCAGCTATGACACATAAGTCCTTCACTACCAGGCCTCTTGCAACGATGACAGACTGTGTTAGACCCCTAACGGCCTCATCTCTAAAATATCTGCTCTGCCAAAACCGGTTTGGTTCAGTGGATAGAGCATCAGCCTGCGGACTGAAAGGTCCCAGGTTCGATTCCTGTCAAGGGAATGTACCTGGGTTGTGGGCACATCCCCAGTAGGGGGTGTGCAGGAGGCAGCTGATCGATGTTTCTCTCTCTCATCGATATTTCTAACTATAATATCTCTCTCCCTTCCTCTCTGTGAAAAATCAATACAATATGTTTTAAATAAATAAATAATAAAATATCTGCTCTGTCCCTTAAATTATGGCCTTTTCTTAACTCTTATGCTATCATTCACAAATACAGAGAAGATACATCCGTATCTTCCACAAAGCCATCATTAATGCATTGGGGACAGAGACCATACATGCTATGTTTTGGGGTACATTCTTCCTTTCTAATAGAATCCTGATCTTGTACAAATGGCAAAGTGCCCAACTCTGCACAGTGAGACCTAAGGAGCAGTTTGTTGTGGAGAGTCTAGGAAAGCTTTAGCCTTCCCAATAAACACACAGATAGAACTGATGTAGTTCCTCTCCCCTGCTCCTCCCCCTTCCCCCACCCCGTAAATACAGATATAATGGCTGGAGCTGCACCACCTGGCCACCTCAGGGAAGTCCTAAACAGCTGCACAGATGCTGTACCTGTTAGTGTTGAGTTCATAAACCCATGCAAGTGATTGCCAACTTCCAAATTTCTTGTTATATAAGGCAAATAAGTTACTTTTTTAAAGTACCTGTTTAAAAAAAAAAAAAAAATCAAGTGCAGCTTCCAACACCATAAACAGCCATGATAAATGTGACTTCAAAAGAAAGACTTCAAAAGAAAGACTATAGTACACCTCAGAAAGAATAGTACATCTCCTTTCACAACAGGACTGGGGAAAAGGTAGGGGATCTGAACAATTCAGGGTAAAAATCACACAAAATTCTTTAAAAGGACTAAAATTTTATGCAGGTAGACCTTAATCCTGGTAAACATCTTTTCAGGGTCCTGGGGTCACTAAATATGTAAGGAAAGTCTCTAACATGAAAGACAGGAACCAAAACTCACAAAGAGGGGGTACGGGGCGGGGGAGGCACCTTGGAGGCTATAGGTGTTAAGAATAAGAAAATTAAACACAAAAAGAATTTTTAAAAATTAAAACTATATTTGAGACCTAAATAGACACTTCTCCAAACTAGACATACAATCCTACCCTGGGATCCTGAGTCATGGCTTAACTAATAATAGGTATTCATCGGAAAAGTTTTTTAAAAAAATCTTTAAGCTATGCATCACAGCTGTTTCAATTACCTTGATTTTTATCATTTCTACTAGAGAAAAATCTCAACTATCATTAACATTTGTCAAAAATCTCCTTAACACTGTATTCTCTGAAATCAATCTTTTGTTTTCCCAATTCATTCTCAATTTACGTTATTCTTATATATAGCCATCAATTAATACTCAAAGCATATAACAGAATGTTCATTGTTCTCACTTTTAGAATCTATAGGGCCATATCAGTGATCATTTGCACTTAAATTAAGGAAATGGGAATTCTAGGTAATTCTAGGTCTAAATAAATTGAGATAAATTTCATATGATACAACTAGTTATACATCCAGATTATAGAACAGATCTCAAACATATTAGAAATACACATGCTGAGGGAGGGAAAACTTAGTTCCCAAAACATAATTTTATGATAGTTACAGTAATCAACTGATTCCCTCATTCAACCAGCATTTCAGTGCTTACAATATCCCTATTCCTTTTCTACAAATTAGGTATACAACAGGGATATAACAGGAACAAACAGGTGATTTTTACTCTCTGGAAACAACAAAAATAATGAAGTGCCAAAAATAGGAAAATCTGGATACTCAGTCAAGGTTGCAGGTTTGATTCCTAGTCAGGGCACATACAAGAATCAACCAATGAATGCATAAATAAGTGGAACAACAAATTGGTTTCTCTCAACCAACCCCCCCCCCCTTCCTCTCTCTAAAATCAGTATTTTTAACTAAGGTCCCGTGCACGAAATTCGTGCAGGGAGGGGTGGGGGGCAGAAGGAGGGTATTCCTCAGCCCAGCCTGCACCCTCTCCAATCTAGGACCCCTCGAAAGATGTTTGCCCACTTAGGCCCAATCCCACCTGAGTGGGCAGTCAGACATCCCTCTCACAATCCAGGACTGCTGGCTCCCAACTGCTCACCTGCCTGCCTTCCTGATTGCCCCTAACCACTTCTGCCAGCCTGCCTGATCGCCCCCTAACCACTCCCCTGTCGGCCTGATTGACTGCTCCCCTGCTGGCCTGATTGCCCACAACTGCCCTCCCCTGCTGGCCATTTTGTGGCAGCCATGTTGTATCCAGATGGGGGAGTGATGGTCAATTTGCATATTATCTCTTTATTATATAGGATTGTTCTTATTTTTTTAAAAAAAGGGGGAGGGGAGAGGATCTGACCCTAAACATTTATGCTTTTTCAAACCATAACAAATACTATATTTCACATATATCATGAAGTATTGTTAAAAAAATTGCTCCTAAGTCCCACATTACAAAAAGCAGTCAGATATCTTACAAAGAAGTAGTTTCAAAGAACTATGATAAGTGTGACTTCAAAAAAAACATTTGTCTAGCCAGTGCGGCTCAGTGGTTGAGTAGGAGGTTATCTATTGATTCCCGGTCAGGGTACATGCTCAGATTCTGGACTCAATCCCCAGTAGGAGGAGGCAGCCAACCAATGATTCTCTTTCATCATTGACTAGAGGCCCGGTGCACGAATTCATGCACAGGTGGGCTCCCTCAGCCTGGCCAGTTATCAAGGCCTTTTCAGGGAGGCCAGCCGGCTGGAGGGACCCTAGGAGGTTAGCCAACCAGCCCTCCAATCGGGGTCTGGAGGCAGGGGTGCGGAGGTTGGCTGTGGGAGCACACTGATCACCAGTGGGCAGCTCCTGCATTGAGCGTCTGTCCCATGGTGGTCAGTACCCGTCATAGCCACTGGTCAACCGGTCATTCCAGTTGTTCTGTCATAACAGTCACTTAGGCTTTTTATATAGAGAGATACCTATAGATGTTTCTATCTCTCCCTCTCTCTTCTTCTCTGCAATCAATAAAAACGTACTTTTAAAAGATTATAATACAAATGAAAATTCTGTGAAAGTCATCTAAAGCAGCTCATTGTAGGAAAGAAATGCTGAAAAGCACAGAAACAGTATTTAAAAAATAACTGTAACCCCAACAGATTCTTTTAAGCACAATTTGCAATTTTCAAGCATCTATCATTCTATCAATTAAAAAGCGGTATCTCAAAATATCCTGACCTATTTTTATTCCATGAGAAATTTAGTCCATAAGTCAGCTAATAATACTAGTCATTAAAGCCACACTGGCGGGATCAAAACTGCATTTTCACAATGAACACCTTCAACCTCAGAAAAAAATACTAAAACTAAACTGATATAAAAATATTAAGTCATAGATAAGAGGCAAAGGGGGGATGGTATAAAACAAATTGCAGGAATAACATGT